GTTATACGGCAAAGATCCCACATCACTTGTGGATCACGTGTTTCGGGTCTAACAATATCAAATATATCTGACATTTCTGACATTCGGGATCTACGCCACGTGATATCGGTCACGTTTTCGGACCTCACAGTATCCAGTATTATTGCAAACATTCCCTTTATATATTATTTATTTATTTACATATGAAATTTTTCGCTTGATTCTCATCGTAAAAGCTTTTGTTGAAGAACCATAGATTTTAATAAATGAATCATTACTCTTTTATGCTGTACTCTCCAAAAGACTGGCAATGCCATTTTCGATCTTGAGGTAAAATCCTTCAAACAATTTTTAGCACACGATTCATTAAAAAATAAAAAAGCCTGGAGTACATTAATATTCTTGTTAATTGAAAGCTAGTAACATTTTACAAAAACTTGGAGTAACAAACATGGATTTCAAGTCAAATCTGTATATTTGATTCCAAATAAGCCTACGGGCGTCCCGAAATAACGCACACTTTATACAATATATGGATTTATATATACTGTATAGTAATAAATAGGCTCAAAGAATTGGCTTTTATCTCGAAATAACACACATGACGTACTCAAAATAACGGACAAACGCCCATTATTTTGAGTTTTTACGTAACTATTGTATTACAAGACCATGACCATTCCAGTATCTTAAAATTCTTTAAGATCATTAATAAAACTTATTACCACCAGAAGCCCATATGGTATAGGGTTTATCAAGTCAATCAAATTACTAATCATCCTTCTTTTTTGTATTATATAAATATCTATTCAATCATAACCTGATCTCGGTTTATAAATCCATTCCTGGTTAGTTTTGCGCGTATATGGTATTTCCTAACATTAATTTGATCGGCTTTTTTGAGTTTGATACTATTGATCGAAAATGGGATATATCTTTGGGTCATAGTTTATGAACCAAAATAAAGTAGGAATCCAATTCCCAAACTCAAATTATGATCAATGTCATGATTTAAAAAGCAGTTTGGGCTGTGACTATTCACAACTTCAACACCTCTTGCTCGCGCTTTAACTCGAAGGTTTCGATCATTTGTAAACAATACAACGGCCTCATTACTATTGCCTCCTTATTCTGATTTGTTATGAAAACCGTTACCCCGTGATTCTTGGTATGCCACAGACAGATGCCAAGAATAAATTTTTCTTTTTATCTTCACCATCACCAAAATCAAATTCTTCATTAAAGTTAATTCCAGATATATAATTTCCTGAACTGAGTTATTTAGACAATGATAAAGATAAGTAATTGCCTCGGATGCTGCAGTGCCAAGAGGGGGTGGGTTAAGTTTTAACCTATTCAATTCCGTAATAACTATGAGAATAAGAAAAAAATTAAATAAATAAAATAAAATAAAACTCAAGTGTTTCTATTATATTAACAAGTGTTCGGATCTTCTATGTGGATCCGAATTCGATCCACCAGCGAATCAGATCGGTCAGAATCTTCTACAGAACACTAATATTTGATATTTACTTCCCAACCAAAGGTACAGCATGATTTTTTTGATCCCGATAAGGCAATTGGTATATATCACAATTGTAGTATATCCTGCAGCAATTCTAGAAGGCGAAGGTGGTGTCACCTTTTTCGTTGCATGAGAGGTATTTTTCCTGGAATGCTTTGACGAAAATTTTTGTGTTGAGAACTCTCCTGAGTTGTAGCTAAAAGATTCTCTAATTCTTGTTTGCGAGACTAAATAGAATAGGTAAAATGCAACTAATAAATTTAACAAGTTTTGATGCTATTTAATTAAATACATAAATTGTACCAAATATAATTTTAAGTAGTAGTATTTCACAAAAATTACAACATAATTCTTTACTAATCAATTCTATTTACATTTTATTCTATTTATTTATATTCTTGAAAGATGTCTTACTTTAAGTTTTTATATAGGGTCTTGTTTATTAAAACAGTCCTTTTTGCAATTTTTTAAAAAATGTGTTTTTATTATATTCTTATAAATTTTGACATGATTGATATTTTTCAATTCTAAATAAAGTTAATTTCATAATAAAAAATCAAGATAATGTAAACCAAAAATTACATAAGACTGCTTAAGGCCAACACATTGCGAGATTACCTGATAGTTACCTGTTACCTTTAACCAATCAAAATTGTGAAATTTGATTAATTCTGAATTTATTTAAAAATCAAACCAAGTGATTAAACTCAATTATCTCAAAATGAGATATATGTATAAAAGGGTTGTTTTAATAAATAACACCCATATTGTGCAAAAAGTAACATTTCTAAAAATAAAGATAAACTACATTATAAATCCTGTGAGTAAATAATAAAGGCTTGAATATTCGATTATTACAAATGAAAATTGGTCAAATTTATAATATCAGCTGAATAAAAAGATGCAAAGCTAAAATATTCTCAATAAAACTTACACGTAATAATGTGTTAAAATTTTAAGCAAAACCTCAAGTGAATGCATTAAGAAGGGATGGTCAAAACCTCTTTTAACTATACTTCAAAGAAATTATTTTAATAACATAACATTGAGAACAGTTGGCTGTGATCCTTATGTACAAGAAGGAGACGTAAGGATCATTATAATAAACTTATTACAAGGCCCAAATCACCATAGTCACAAGTTACTTTATCTCAACTTTCAGCATAGTATATATTTGATTCAATAGTTTTTAAGTTATTTCTTTTGTTGTAGAGTTTTTAACAAGATCAAACGCTTACATATAAATCATTGAATAATATTTTAAAATATTAGAAAGTTTGCCACTATTCTTGGATACTTAATATGAGTGATTATATTAAGCTTCTTGTTTGAGCAAGATTATGCCTAAATTTTATTTTAAACTATGTAAAATGATTTCCATTTTGTGAAAGGATAGATGCCCAGCAAAAATAAAGAATCCGCTCTCATATTATTAAAAAATTTTTAGCATATGAAATTGTGTCAACCAATTTTTTAAACTAATAGTATAAGTCTGTACGGTTTAAAATTTTTATTAAAAAATTTTTTATTAAAAAAAATTAAAATCCGGGTTGGTGGGTCAGTTGGTGATACCTAATCAAGATTTTTTAGAGTAATCGACGTTAATTTAATAGTAAAACATATAAAGCTCAAGCTGTAATTACTCTTGAATCTGCAAATCTACACATGCTCTTTAATGTAACAACGAACGCTCTTTTTTTTAATTTTCTTTTTACTGTCTGGAGCGTAACAGAGAATTAAAGTGATACCAAAATTCTTGCTTTTGATGTATTTTTAATTAAAATATCAAAAACATGACATGATATATAATAGTTACGTTTTTGATATTTTTATTAAACAAACATCAAAAACAAGAATTTTGGTATCACTTTAATCCCTACTCGCTCCAAGCAATAGAAAGAAAATTAAAAAAATTGAGAAGTGACACGAAACATTATCACTATCAGTATCAGTATATTATGATCAGAAGAATTGTGGGATGTGCCGTAACTAACTGAGTTGTAACTTGTTATAACCCTTTGCCTTAAGTTACGATATGCCGTATATGGCGAATTAATTATTCACGTTATAGCTTTTTATATTTCATATATATCGAGTTGTATTATTAATTAGATACAAATACTGATCATATAGCCATATCAAAAATTTAATTTATCGATATGGTACTTTAATTTCATGCGACACTTGGAATCCATACGGCAATTGGATTCATAGAACAGGGACAGTGATTTTCTGTGATTCACAGAAAACAACAGAATTTTTTTTAAACACAGCTAACTACAGAAATCACCCTTAGCCACCACAGAATTCTAAAAAAGTCAGAATTCCAAGAAAAACAAAAAAAAACAGTACAGAATATCACAAATATCGCGTACTTGACCACAAATTCATGTCAGCGCGGGAAATTCCGGACAAGTAGATAATAAACCAAAATAAATTACGAGCATGTTTTTCGGGAAGTTACGAAATTCTATAGTTTAAAAAAAATTAGATAAACGCATCAAAACAGAAATTACAGAATGGCATCACATAACTGCACAGAAATTTGTTAAAAAATTTATTACATTAAATCACAGAATCTGTCTTAACCACAGAAAATCACTGTCCACTGTTTCTGGCGTAAAGTAATAATCGACAATTATATGTTTATGTAATAAATACAAATTATTTTATCTAATTTCAGATGACTTGTAAAAGATTGTATTTAGCTCAGAACTTTACTAAGCTATTCACGTATTACATGTTCTAGATTGTAACTTGCTATTTAGTTAAGTATTTTTTAAATTTTATTTATTTAAATAATATAATAAATCTATATGCTTAAATAGCTTATTGTATTTTAAAATTAACAAACTGATTCTATTTACTAAACTTAGTAGTATTTGAATAAATTTGATTAATAAACTATAATAATTATTTACACTTACAATCGATTGATTTTTATGAGTAAATTCTAAACTTACCGTTGATTTAACATGTGGGTATAAAGAAGAAATCATTAACCGAGAAATCTATTTTTCTGATGAAATATGTTGATTATTTTTTATGATTAATTTTACATTTAAAACTGTTGATTTAATGTGTATAGAAAGAATACCATATGTTACTGAATAGAAGCAACCAAAATGTTGCCAAAAAAACAAAAATACGAGCCAAAATAAAGGGGTGGGAGTTACTTTTATTCGATGATTGCTTCTAATCGGTAACATATTAAACTTTCACCTTATTGGGCTCTCTTTGAAGAAATTTAATTATAAAGAAATCCAGAATGACTAGAACTAGCTGTACCAATATCATAGGTCACTCAAATAAGCTTTATTGAAGAATAATCTAAAGCCAGGCATATATATCGATATATCGATATTTTGATATTTATCATGTGATTTTAATTTATAAAATTGATTAACGTTAAGTACTATAAAATATGCATGATAATCAATAACTCTGATATGATATAGATATAACGACAAGTTTTGAATTAATTAATCATTTCAGAATGAGCAAACGCGATAACAATAAAGATGACCAATTATCTGCAAGAGACAAAAAAAGGGGTAAGCTAATAAACGAATTATCGTCAGTACTTATTACAATGATTTTTATCTAATCTCTGCATTTATCATAATCAGCTAAGACTAGGGCTGCAAGGACGATAGATACTTTCGGTGGTAGTAGTAATGATATTAACGGTATTCATTTTATAAATTAAATGCTCATTTACTTTTTTAAATAATTCTCGAAAATTATTATTTCATATTAAATTAAATTTCATAAATTTCAAGTCGCTAATTATGCACCAAGAACCATCAATGCAATAGATTTTGCAGAGGTATATTAAAAGTTATAATATATATCACGTGTTGTTAGTAACTTTACCAATATGACCAGGCTAGAGCTTTCGAAATTAATGCAATGAATGATGCTTTGGAACGTGCAAGGTTTTTGTTTATCTATCATCTACTTGATTAGTGTAAACCTTTTTTCATTATTCAACAATATATTCTCGAATTGACAGGAAAACAAGAAATACTAATGTGATCCAATGTCTTCCTCGTCATCTTCGACGACGAGCTGCAAGTCATAATGTTAAACGTCTACCAGTTCGTTTAAGGAAGCAAGCTACCGATGAGGTATTTAATAACCAACTATTAAGCAACTTAAAAATGTGAAACAATCTAAGCCTTATGCCTTTATCAATAATTTACTTATAATAGATGATGAAAGATAATACTGCACCAAAGAATCCAAACAGGCGCAAAAAAAGGCGCCCTGGCTCATTAGCTGATGAATATAAGCGAAGACAAGGTTTCTTTTTTTTGTATTATAATTATTGTCACGGCTGAAGCTTGAAATCAGGGACTCGATTTAAAAATATAAACTCTACAAAAATCCATTTATACTCTTTTATTATCAAAACTAATCATAATCTACTAAAAAAAAATGCCAAAAAAATGCTCCCCCAAAATTTCTAAAAATTTCATATTAAAATAATTAAAAATTTCAAGCTTCAACCGCGACAATTATTAAGTATTATTATAATGATATAAATATATAAATAATTCTCTTTATTGATAGGTACCAAAAGATGGTTAGAAACTCATATCTGGCATGCTAAGAGAATGAAGATGACCGAATTATGGGGCCATAAACTGGTAATCAATCGTGTCACAATCACTTTAATGATACAACTTGAAATTAATATAACTGCATTCAATATTTCATTCAATATTTCATTTAATATTTCATTCAATATTTAGGCAGAATATCCAAATGAGAAAAGCATTAAATCCTCATATAAAGCAAGCCAACACCTTTCTATTATTCATGATGCATCTTATTTCGGATGGATTCAAATATCAGGAAGTCAAAGTGTTATTATCAAGTTATTAAATAGCGTGACTGATCCATCTCTACCTTCAATTGGTAGTGAAAGGTTTGTTCTATTTTTTCATTTGGTTTATTTTGAAAAATTCCTGTTGGTGATAAATTTATTCGCAATAGATATTTAAATGGGAAACGGCAATGTTCTACTTTTTTATACCACTATCTTATGTATCCCACACATACTATTGCACCAGTAAACTTGATGTGGAAACCAACTTCCATTATCGATACAAGTGCAGAAGATAATAAAGTTACAAGGCATGTTTTAATATGGATTCATGGATGTGCCTTTGATGAAGCTTTTGAAGCATTAAATATAGCTATTGAGACAATGGAATTACAATATGGTATTTTATAATTTCCATAATTTTTAAATTAATATTTTTATAAAATGAATTTCATATTGTTAACCACATGAATGATTTTTGATAACAGAAATATCTATTTCAAATCTTCAAGATGAACTTCTGATGTTTGAATTGACTGGTCCAAGATCAACAGCTTTATTACAAGAAGTATTAGATATTGCTGATGGTGCTTCTACTTGTTCTGCATCTGGATTCAATATTGAAAGTTCATTGGCCATTAGTACTAGCGTCAATCCTGATACCGAGATTTTGGAAGTAAAAAAGGCTTGCATAAATAGTGAAGCACATAAGGTAATTTTATTTACATTAAACCAACAGATTATATATGATTAATGAACATGCAAAGAATCATTTTACAATCAATCAGGCTTGGACTACATTACGAGATTTACGTAGTTCGGCGTCTTTACCACCAGGAGTTGTACTTGGATTAACTGTTTTTGATCCACGATTGCGGTTGGTACACTTTTTTTTGTAATATAGATCTATGATAGTAAACACGTAATCAAAAACCTATTTTATTTCAAACAGATTCCCAAAAAAAGTTCCACCACGAACGTCTCAAATTTCTCCGTCATCATCAGTTGCCTTGCAAAATTTGCTAGTAAATTGGCCTGATAATATTGCGAATTGTGATATATGGGATGAGAAATGTAGAATTCATTTGAAAACGAACAAAATTGGTGAAGGTGAATTAAATAAACGAAGAAGCGAAGTATATATATATGCGCTATTAAATCATTTATATTATGTGTATTAAGTTTTAACGCCATATATTTATTTCAAAGTTACTTGTTCCAGGTCAAAAACTCATTCCAAAGTATAAAGATTCATTGATACCAATATTATTAATTCAACGAGATGGTCTAATCACCACAATTAATAAATCAAATAACGAAATTGACTCAAAAAAAAATAATTCATCACCAGAATATAATAGTGGTTGGAATATAATTATACCAAGTGGGTGGGGAATGGATTTTTGGAAAAGCTTTGTGTTTGCTGGTGCATGGGTTGGTGGTGTGTTTTTCGTTTTTATTATTTATATCGTTATTTTAAACCGTTAGTATCATCAAAAGGTTTATTGATTAGGATGTTATCTGATTTAATTATCTTTAATTTGAAAATTCAGGATTAAGAGAACGGCACTCTAATCATTTTGAATCCGGCATGCAATGTTTTCCTTATGATTTTCCAGGTGCAAGGTCATATAATCTTTATTCAAAACAACAAAAAGAAAAGCATGAACAAGAATATTTAAAGAAACCACCGGCTAAAAGAGTAAATTATAAAAAATTACAAGTTACTTGTCCTTTTGAACCTGGATTCGAAGCACTAGTTGGGATTGAGAATGTAAATGAGGAAAAAGATGAGATAAAAGAGGAGAAAGAAGTTATTGAGGGAAATATCGATAAGATGGATGAGGATAATACAAAGGAAATGAAGAATGAAGGGGAAGAAAACACGACTGACAATAAACCGCAGTCAGGCACTCAACATGATAGTAACATTATAGAGACTGGTAAACAAAAGGACACACCACGAATAGGCATTAAACTAGTTGTTGAACAGAAACTATGGTTACTTCGAGGTGCAAAAAATATCAAACTCCTTGAGAAATATTGTATCACCACATGTCCCGATGGTGTTGAAGAGTTTTTGACAAAATTAAAGGCACAAATTAGGGATACGTTTGCGAAACGTGTAATTTCCTTATTACCTGAATATATCGATTCCTGGAGTCTGGAACAAGCGTTGGTAAATGTTAGAGTAAATTTATTGGCAAGAGGGTGTCCAAGATGGAATGCTATTATTTACAAGATTGGAAAAGGAGATGCTTATCAAAAGTGGGAGAAAAAAATAAAAAAGAATGATGATGGTAATAAGGATCTTTTAAATGATGAACTTGACGATAAGGTATATGCACTTTATTTGAGGATCTGTGTTTTCCTTGGTTTCAAGTTTTGTAATTCATTTACACTGTTCACAGGAGATTCCATGCGCAGATGACATAATTGGATATATAACAACTAGTCAATTTTCTTTTAGTCAAGGGCATGGATTCGGAATTGGATGTTGTTCTGTTGTCAAGTGTTTGGAAATGATCAAAGTTGAACGAAGGTATATTTAATTTTTTATACTTTTAAATAATTAATAGTTGCTAATATGTTAAAACTTTTTGAATTCTAGTGAACAAAGGAAAATAAAAAATTTCATTTTGATTAGGAACATAACAAGTAGAGTTTGTCAACCTGCCACGTTGGAATTTCTTTATTGAATTTATTGCAATATTATTAGAATTTTAGACATCTATATCTAGAATTCTTTTGAAAAAAATATATATATGTTCAACTTCGTTTGTTTAAGGATTCATTCTATGTTAAACACGAAGAGGTTTTGCAAAATTATTTGTGTTAAGTATAAAACTGGTTTAGTAAATAGAAAATGACTTTAATATTGGCATGTATTATTAAAAATCACATAGTAACATAGTATTAAATGTCGGGGACGATGCTGAAATTTGAGAGTCTCGATTTAAAAATATAAACCCTACTAAATCTACCTATACTTTTTTTATTATAAACACTAACCCTAAATCCTAACCTAACTTCATAAAAAAAAAGTCCTTCAAAATTTTCAAAATTTCATATTAAATAATCAATTTTCACACGACGTGATAATTTAATTATTGATTACCGGTGACATTTAAGCAAGCCCAATCTAGTATTCTATATAGGTTTTCCCTTTTCGTCACTCATATCGACCATTAGCATGTTATATTTTGATGTGCATTTTGATTCCTTACTATGAACATCTACGGATTTATAGAATCGGACCTTTTTTTTAGAACCCAAATTTATGCATATCAGCTATCAGTGCAGACATTTGAGGACTTACAGTTACGTCCAGTTGACGTGTCGTCACATCAAAAGTGTCATAACGACGTGGTTCATAATATCTAACATAAACGTTTCCTCCTGTTATCTAACATTTGTCGTAACTTAGTTACGGCAATATAAGAAGTTACGGCAGTATAAGGAGTTACTATAACGGATTAACCGATTTGATAGAAAAGGCCATATGTTTAATGAAAATGGGTTTATAACGGAATTTGACATTTACCAAGTCTATTCTGTTATATAGGTATAACGAAATTTTAGGCAGCTTAAGCGGCATTTGTACTACCGGGATACAAACAAAATAATTAAATTTATAAAATTTAAACATTTAGTGAAAATACGCAAAGAATTTTAATTGGCGTTTTTTTCAAATTTAAATGTTGTTTATTGTATATTTATTTTAATAGTCGTTAGATAAAAATTGAGCTTATGCCAGCGTTGCATTAACTTACCTGACAATGTAACTTACAATGTAACTTACATCGTAAGTTACATATCACCATGTAAGTTACAAATATTAAGATGCTAATGCCGGCCAAATAATATATGTAATTCAGCTAGCTTTAACATATCTAATACTAAGTCGATAATGGCTATTTGTATGATGCTAAAAATAATAATAAATATCAAATTTATTTATTTATTATTATGATCTAAAGAACCCTAGTGTAAATTTCAAATCCCAATTTGATTTCTAAAACGACTTGTGCAATATCAATAAAAAGATTAGCATCTAATTTTTTTCGAAGGAGATATTGATATACTTATTTACTTCAACTAAATTGCTAAGGTTGATGAAATTTAATAGCAATAAAAAATAGTAATAAATATTTGGTTGGAGTACATTTTACTATTAAAATATAAATGCAATACTACCATATAACCTATCTAAGTAACTTTAGCGGTAAAAATAATTTAATTGCATTATCTTCATTTGCTACCCTTTGAAATATTTTGAATATAATACCAGGAGATTTTTCAGTTTTAATTTCAGTATAAAAAAGTCTCAGAAATGATCACGCATTTAAATTATCAGTTTGATTGTTATAATTGCTAAATATATTTCCAAGAGTTTTTAATTTTTTTTGATAAACTCTACTATAATTCTACAAATTTGTTGCAAAGTATTTAAATTTCATTATAAAATCTTATATTTAATATAATCATTCTATTTATTTATCGCTATCCATATTATTTGTACTGTCTACATAATCCATACTGTATATATCATCAATACTATCCAAATTATTTATATTATTGTTTATCTCTAAATTGTCAATTTCATCCATATAATCTATATTGATGTTATCTGTATTCAATGAACTATTAGACGAAAAATCATTTATATTGTTATTATTTTCTTCAATTAATTCGATTTCATTTGGTTCTGATCTAACAATATTATCTTCAATCAAATAGCTTTTTTTTCTTAATTCTTCAACTGAGAATGGTCAATTCAAGAAATGTAAAGCTCGAATATTCCAGTAAGTATATACTATTTTTTCTACATTCAGATTACTTAAATAATTACGTAATTAGAGTGAACAAAATTAAAGGATAACCAATTTCGTTCACATGAAGCTGAAGATGCAGGTATTGAAAGTAATTTCAATGCTATATTACTTAATACCAGGTATTGAGCTTTACTAAATTCCATCAATTATTTAGTATTTCTTTTATAGAACCTCACAAATAATTAGTTGCAAATCCATTAGTTTTTCTTACAAATTCTGAAAGTTCTTCTAGAACTTGAATTTCATTTTCTTTCCAGCAAGATGTATAAGTTCTCTTTCAATTAGAGTATTCTATTTTTTTGGATCTAAAATTTCTTCACAATATCATGAATCTAATTTGTATGCTGTCATAGTTGTTAGATTATACAAAAAATCATTCCAATGATGTTCTACTAATCTCATAGTTTCTGTAATTACTATAGTTGGAATATGATTATTGTTACATATTGTTGTTTCTAATTGACATAACTTAAGAAATATTATTGATAAAAGTGATGTATCTCCTTGTAACTCATTAATAAATTGAACAAAAGATTCTAAAAAGTTACAAAGATATCCAAGATTGTGCCAAAAAAGATCATTTATTAAATGAATTTTTATATTAGAATTGATTTTTATATTTTCTTCAATTAATAGTGAATGAATTGTATTTTATGTCTGTACCAAATGATTCATACAATAAAATACTGATCCTCATCATGTATCTACCATTTTACTAAAAAAATTATATATTTATATCTTTCTATTTGAAGATAACAAAGTGCTGCTAAAGATATAGTATAATTATGAAAATAATTAACAATTTTTTTATTGGTTTCTAATATACTCTTTGGCCAATTTAATTTTAAAATATCTTTGATCCAAAGATTAACTTCATGGATCCAACATCCTAAAAATATTTTTGATAGGTACCTGTTCTTAAGGATACGTCATGTAGCCTTCATGCTTGGTGTGTTGTTAGTAATAATAGTTACAAACTTGTTGATATTAAGTTTTTGCATCACTTCATCTATTCTCTATGTAATATTTTGTGCAATATAATGATCCTCCTTTATATATACTGATTTGTAAAAAAGTGGTTTAGGAGTTGTAATCATATAGTTTATTACTAAGTCATTACAAATGTTTGATCAACTATCCATTACAAGACATAAAAATTGGGTTTCATTAATTAAATAATTAACAATAGGTTTTATATTAAAGTACTCTCTAACTTGAAAAAAAATTGCATGTAGGTAATTTAAAATATAAAAGTGTCTTTGAAAAAAAAGCTTTTATATTATCATTTTCTAGAATATTAAATAAAATATCAGCAGAATAAAATCTATGTGCTAATAAACTTTTAAGTTCTTTTTGATCAGTTTTAGTAAACCTAAATAAAAAATTTTCTATTTTGGATTGTTGTTTAGGTTTGATGATCTTAGTATTATCATTATCATCATGTACAAAATTTGGTGTGAAACCTGATATTCTATTATTAGTATCTTTTAAACTGCAGTGATAGTAATGTTCTTGCATTCATGTTTCATTTTTGACCCATGAATTGTTACAAATTGTACATTTTCACCATTCTTGTTCTTTCTTATTGATTATTGTTTCAAAGCCATCCCAAAAAGTTCCTTTATTATAAGGCATATTAAAAAGATAATTTTTTTATAATTTTTATCTATATATATATTTATAAATTTATAAATTTAGAATGTCATACAAGTTTACATAACTTACCTTACATGGTAACTTACACAAATTAAATTGTAACTTATATTTTACAAATAACTTACAATAAATTATGCAATACTATATAAAACCAAGTAAAGTTGGTAACAGATTTGTAATAATCTATGTTATGATGTTTATATCCAAAAGCTTATAACTGTAAAAAGTTTGTTCTAATTAGGAATATGGAAAAATACAAGTTAATATATATAGATATACTCCTGAATATTGTAAAATAGTTAGTATAAACACAAAATAAATTCATATTAGATTACAGTAAATCTGTGTTGAGAAATCTACAAGAACACTAATTAGAAAGACCATTTGAAAAGTTCTAAGTATAGTGTTCATATCTGAAAGCTTATAATTGCAAGAAGTTTCTGATTAGGAATATAGAAGAATACAAGCTAATATACATAGATGTACACCTAAACATTATAAAATAGTTAGTGTAAACACAAGATAAAACTATATAAAGGTTAGTATAAACATGCAAAATGGGAACTGCATAGTTTACCTAACATTATTATTATACAAACAATAAACAAAAACATATACAAATTAGTCATCTTCTATAAATATATAAATGTAGCCACTGCCTTACTAAAAGATACAACTGATTGTAGTTAGTAAGGAGAATAATGTATAAAGGCAGATGATTAAGCCTCTATATGTAGAAAACTAAGACTTTGATATCTTGCACAACAGTAAGAGCCAAGCATATGGCAATCAACCCTGTAAAAGACAACCTCAGAAGATCATTCTCAACATCATTAAGCTTTTATGATCTTTATATATGTTTTAACAAATTTCTTCTTTATTATAACTTACTACTTCTTTCTCATAGTCAAACTATTCAATCTTTTATACAACATATTAACAAATATAACTATAATAATACTGTCTCTAGTATTATTTTCTCTGTTAGTAATACCTATGATGAAACTCATATATATCTTTTAAATAATTTCTTTTTATCTAATTATACTATTATCTATCTTTATCTTCTTTCTATCTTTTACAATCTTCCTTTTAGATCAAATTTCTCCAATTCTACTTCCATTCCATCTGATTTATTTCTTAATAGTTATACTACATTACAAGTATCTACATCTACACAAACTTTATATGACCTTCATTTAAACATTTGTATATATAATGTTAGAGGTTATAATACAATAACTAAAAGAGAAACTTGGCAAAATTATTGTCTTTACAATAATATCTATATTTCTTGTATTACTAAAACCAAAATCACTAACAGTACTAATCTTTAATTTCATAATGACAACTTATTCACCTACTTCTAAGCCAATTCAGAAAGTTCAACAGAAGATGCTGCTATTATGATTTAAAAACATTTATAAACACATGTACATAACTGCTAAACACATCTTAGTGAAGCTATTACTTTAGATCTCTTTTTCAAAAGTGAAATTAAACTTCGAATTATAGCTGTCTAACTTTTTTTTACTAATATGCAAAAACATAACAATACACAAAATACTGTTATTACATAAATTCAATAAGCTTTTCAACACAACTTTCATTCAATAATATTTAAAAACTTTAATATATATGATAATATCTGTAGCTCTTTATCTAAATTTTAACTTATTAATTATTTACATCACTCCAATATGTTTGAACTTGGTACACATATTAATAACAAGCATTTTACATAGTCAAATAATATTAGCTACAGTTGTATTGATTATATCTGGACTAATTCATTCAATATTCAATTCTTTCTTTCATACAAACTTGATGATAGCAATATCTCAACACTTAGTGGCTACTCTATTCTTATATTTACCTGAACTTTTACTAATGCATATAGCAAACTTTCATGTCAACATACTAGTATTAGGCACAGAATTTTTAATTGCAAAACTATGTTAATTGACAAATGGACAGAATTCTCTGATCTTCTTTCTTACAATTTTAGTCTTTATAATATATCACTTAATAGCAATATTAATGAAAGCATTGAAACTACTTGGTACAAGATTGAATATTCAATAATTAACATTACAATATATTCTATTCCTAACAAAAAAACTTGTAAATATAGCTACAATTATCAATATTGCTTTAACTTTACCTTAATCTACACATTACTTAAAGAGCTTGGGCATCTAATAAAAATTGTTAAAAATACTTACAACAATCTTAACATGAACATAATAAACTCTAGGATTAAGATTATTAATAATAGATCCTAATATGATCTTCAAACTCTTAATCAAAATGACTATTCTAAATTTATGCATGGATCCAACATGTACAAGATATCTAAAAACAACTTTATTATGCTTATCATACAAAAAATCCATTACTACTTTGTCAACAAATTCAACAAGCAACTAAAAAGAGATGTAAAACACTTTTAATATACTCTAAACAAGCTATTAACAGTATTTGCAATCGATACAAAGCTCCTATTTACTTTTTCAATATCAAACTTCCTAACCAATTTATTACAGATTCCAAACTCATAAAACAGCATATACAATCTTACTTTTATGACTAAACTGCATATCGACCAACTGACCAAGCATAGTTTGACAGCTTTTGGCATATACAGTATCAATTACAACAATATATTAATACTTAATAGTTTAACTCTTTATAACAGAAGATGTTCTTTAAACTTTGACAAAACTTCTCAACAGAAAAGCTTGCAGACCTACAAATATTAGCTATGAAATGCTTAAACATGCAGACATTACTTGTATTAAAGCTATTATAGTTCTATTTAATCATTGCTTTAATTTAAGTCAAATTCCCAAACAATAGAAACATAGTAGAATCTATCTGATTTCAAAGTATAATACATTTAATAGTAATTTAAGTCTCACTTACCCTATTAGTTTTATTGAATATATTCGAAAAGTCTATACAAAAATAATTACTACTAGAATCAGTACTGTGTTTTCTCAATATTCTATAGTTTTACTATACAATTATGTCACCCTACCTAACAACAGCATATCTATACCAATTCACATATTTAATAATCTTATTGAAGATGCATTATGCAATAACAAATCAATTTGGCTATTATCTCAAGATATGAGTAAAGCCTATGCTTAGTTAATCTTACTCTTCTTCAAAAATCTTTGCAATGTCTTGCTCTTTCTCACTCTATTATAAATGCTATTACTAATATTTTTTATAATTAACAAAATCAAATTATTACAAACCTCAA